AAGTCAAGGGAGTCCAGAGCCAGCCTGTCAATTTTCTGGGGAAAAGGAGGGCTGAATGAAAAAGACAGGGGAAAAAGAAGGGCCTGCATTCAGCCTGGTGGGGCCACTTTCCTATTCAACTAGTCACACTCCACAGAGCCGCCTCGCCCCCTGGGTGACCCGCTCTGCCCCTGCGGGCCAGCAGACCAGGGGTGGACTTTTCAGCCCCAAGACTCCTTTTTTTGGGGGAGGGTGATCTTTATTTTATTGTCTACACCATCTTTTCTTTTTACTGTTTTTGAAAAGGAAAAAAAAAAAAACTCAAATTTTTTTTCTCTTATTTCTGCTGCAGTTTTGTTCTTCTCAGCACTGAGGGGATTTCTACATCCTTCACAGTTCAGTACTTCCCCATGTTTCTCTCTCCTCACCCCATTATCATGATCCCTCCTCCCTCACCCACACAAATGAACCCAAAGCAACACTCACAATTTCCTGTGTCTGCCCACAACTCATACAGCAGGCTTGTTACTTGCTCCCCAACCCCGTAGCTGTAACCCTTAAGACAAAATGACCTAAAATGTTCAACATTCCCTTTTATAGTTTTCTTCACAATAAAGCACAGCGGCCCTTTTTGATCCGAGTTGGGAGCACATGGTTGGGCTCCTAATTACAACTTTCAGAGAGTGACACTTCAGGAAAAGAAAGCCCCAGGGCAATTTCAACTTGCTGCTGCATCTGCAGTCCTGGGGGTGCAGAGAGTATGAAGGTGTATAGTGGCTTGGAATCCCTATGAAATTTTTAATACTTCAAGAGCAAACCACCCCATAAAGAAAAAAAGAGCCAGAGAAGGTAATAAAGTTGCTAGAATCCAGATTTCCAGCCTCTTCTAGAGCCTGCTACTCCACTTTGAGGGCTAAAATGGACTCTCAACTACTATATATTTTTTTTCCTGCTTATTAAACCTCAATTTATTTTTTAATATAAATTATTTTATTTTATATAATTCTTATATCATTTTTCTTTTTTGCATAATGTATGCATTTTCATTTTGGTTTTATTCCCCATTTTGGTTATATTTCATTTTGGTTATATTCTGACTCTAATCCCTCTTCCCCTCCCCCCGCCCCCCCACTGTAGTGTGTCTCTGGTCTATAGTTAAAAATCAAAATCAACAATCAACTATTATATTTTTGTACCTGAATCTCCTGTATAAAATGATCGTGTCATGTGGAATACCTGTGCAACTGCACTGTGGACCCACCTGCATGATCACACACCTGCCTGTGCTCCAGAGCCTCCCCGACCCTATGCAGGGCACCTGCCCACTGTGCCCTCTGCCTGGGATGTTCTTCTCCATGGTGCTAGCTACTTCCTGTTAGTTCGGCCCCCACTTCCTCCCTGCCCATACAAGCTGAAGTGGCCTTTTCCTGCTCATAGCCTACCATTTTACCCTGTTAATGCACGAACATATTTACTTTGTCCTGTTTGTGTTTTAAAATCATTATCCAAACCATTACCTTTGGTTGTTAATCTCCTTACAGTCTGTATTTCCCCACCTTGACATAAACTTGGTGAGAGCAGGTACTTATATGTCTTATTTACCACTCTATGCCTGAGAAAACAGTGACTAGCAGGGCAGACAGTCAATACAAATGTCAGTTCAAGGAGTAAGTGAAAACACAGTTGCATGATTTTCAATTCCACATTTCTTGACATAAAGTCTGATGTTGAATATTACCAGCAATTTTCAAATGCAATCACAAACATTAGCTGAACACAATAAGCAGTCAGAGGAGTTGTAGCAATTCTGTAAATATAAATGAGTTCTTTAGATAACTTTTTCCCTACATCAAATCTTTAGTTAAAAACAAATATCACAATCTAGATGTCTGTCTAGCAGCAGTGCACCCAAAGCAACCTACCTACCCAAATGATTCCTGTCTTATGGTAGCTGACAACCCATCAGGCAGTTTTCATCAATGCTACTTCTTTCATACATAAATCATTTCACCCAAAATAAATAGAAAAGGGCTATATGCCTGATGAATTATTTCCACTTTTAAAACACAAACAGGAAAGTAAATATGTTCATGATTTTTAGTGCTTCTACTAGGGGTGAAAATTGGAATCCAGACATATTTGAGTAAGCTGTCCACAAACTTCCACTGCCTTCTGAAGAAATCCAAGGCCAAGTCATGTCATTCAGCTCAAAAAGGCTAAAACCAACCATACCAGGACACCCCAAGTCACTGGAGCAAGGATGGGTAACCAAGCAAAAGGCAATCACATATGGATGGACACTGAGGAAGAGCAACAGCTCTGAAACTGCCATGGTACAAATCATGTCTAAGAGGAAAGCTTGTCTCCTCAGAGATTCCCCTTTGGGGGAAGCATCACTGCTGAGTGATAGGAGGAGCTTTGCTGAATGATACTGAATGGCTGCTCTGGTTACTGATGAGACCTGCTGTCCATCTAGACATTGTCATAATCCCTTGTACCCCTGGCCAAACTCACTGTGAAAAATATCCTGGGCCTGTTTTTTTCCCTGTACCAAGATAAATAAATTCATCTAGCTACATACCCTGAAGTAGAAATCCCCTGATTATATGTGGAACAGGGGAAATTATTTTCTAAGGTGAAAAGGCATCAAATGAGTCCCTACAGAATGGAATACCTTTCTGTAAGGCTGTCCTGTAATGATTAGGGCAGAAAAATAGAACCACTGTATATAATTCAGTGGTATAAGTAAAAAGTAACCTCAATTCCTGTTTCTTTGACATCAAGTTTCTATCACATTCTATGAACCCAAGCAAGGACCAGTCATGTCTACAAAATGTACATAGTGGTGCTTTGCTAAGTCAGCAATAACAAGCTATGTATTTGGTCCCACAATTCAGTTCATCCAAGATATGGGTGTACCTTTCACGTACCAGGCACAGTATTAGGTGCAAGGAAGTATAAATTATAGCTACCACCCTCCAGAAAATTAGATGGGGACCGATACAAAAACAAAAAATAGAGAAAACAAGATTTGGTGGCTCTCATGAAAGTGAGAGGCTGTTGTAAGTAGTACTGTTGGCAGTTTCCACTTCTGCCAACACCACATTCCTGGAATACACATCATACAGGAGTTTACCAAAGAAAGATGTTATTTTCCTTTTGGGACTGGGGCCAAATAAACTGCACTAAACAAATAGCACTAAATAAATTTGTAAACAATATGTTCAAACAATGTTTCCACAATGAGAAGAGCCTATGTTAGTATAAAAAAGAGCCAGTATCAAGCACCATACCCATAAATGCACATGGTACACAAGGGTTTTCAGGAGGAGTAATAACAAATTTTTTAAGAGCTGCATTATCCGGTTTCATTGGAGAAAAAGTTAAAGGCAACACTTTCTTTTTTCATCATTAAGTTTCCCTGCACTAGAAGAGGGTGATGAAGGCACCCTAGCCCCTGCAGCTGCTCTCGGAGGACTGGCTCTTCCGCAACAGCCACTCCCAGCTGATGTCAGGGGTGGTACGTCTTCTAGCATTTTTTCAAGGTAAGGCCTCATCATGGTTTTGGGAAAGTGTGGTGTACAGGCACAGGTTTTTGGAACTCAAAAACCTGAGTTTCAGATCCTGAGTGTACCATGTTTCTCAACTACTCTGTGTTTCCATTCCCCCGAATAAAACAGCGCATGACAACCTCCCTGGCCTTGCATCACGACATGCACAGGCCGTGCCCCACAGGCCGCAGGCACCCGACAAGTGGCGGCTATGAACGCGACCATGGTTATCTTCACCTTTCTTCTACTTCCGGGGATTATTCAAAGTTAAAGTTCGGCAGTACAGAATTAGATTCAATAAGGGCCAACAGGAAAAGACATCTAATAAATAGAAAATAAACCCCTAAACTCCCCCTACAACTGCCTGACAATTATCACTATCACATTTGGGTTAATCTTGCTTTGTCTTTTCTCCCCCCCATGGAAAATTTTTGTGTAGAATTACTAAAACTAGAATAAAATTATATCCTGACTTGTATAGCCAGAAATCATCAAGAAAGAAAGAGATAACAAAAAAATTAAATTGAGAATGTGAACTATGGGGACCACTGGGGTACCCCAAGGATAAAGCTCTGCAAATTTGTGTAATGATGTCAGTGTACTTAAAGCCACAGAACTGTACACTGAAGAATGATTTTCACATCATAAGCTTTGTGTCATGTATATTTTTCCACAATAAAACAAACACTCTTAAGTCCATGCTTGGTTTACTTTGCACCCTTGGACTCAGAATATGTCAGCACCTCAGCCACATTTGTGAAATATCTGAGTAAAAATTCTGAAAATAGGCCTAATAATAGGATCTGCATTCCTTTTTACACTTTCTACTCGGTCAATACTGAAGCCTAAGGAGTGTGAGAAGATTATTTAAATCCTGCTTACAAGAAACATGCATTGATACTTACCTGGTTCCTGTGTCCTCCCAAGCCTGTGAACTTAGAATTCCAAGGAAGAAATCTATTTCTCCCAAACTAATAGCACAAGCAAAGGATTTCACCAATTGTTTCAACAGGAGAGCAAGATGGTGGGTTGAAGTCTGACTGATGACAGACATTGTAAGTAGGGTGTTCTTAAGTCAACCTGAAGTTAAGTTTGCCAAGGTGACCAGCTTTGAGTGACCTGTTTCACCAGCAAGACTGTTGACTTACTGTTGTATTTCCTACCTGCAGGCAGAGTGCAAAACCTTCACACCTAAATGTACTTCAGAACTCAGTATGAAATCCCAATATGCTTTTCCTTTTAGAATTTAGTCAATTTTTGCTAGACCCAGAGAGACCACTCATCCAGCAGACTATGCTTTAATGAACCTCACTAAAGGCCATCCCCAAGGGCGTGCTCCAGGGACCCAGGAACCAATTGCTCAGCACTCAAGCTGAAGCGTTTGTACACCATCTCACATGTCCTTTCCCAACCAATATTACCGTATGTTTTCTAGACAGGTGAAAATGCATTTAACAATTTAAAACTCACCTGTTAGGTTAGCATTGGAATTTCCTGGAAGTATGTTATCCTTAGTGACTGAAGAACCTATAAAAATAAAGAAAGATCCTCTGATGAAAGAACATTTTATATTTAAGGAGGAACACTAGCAATGTTTCTTTCTTCCCCTAGAGTGGTGTGGGGAGGGGGACTTATTCCACAAGTTCTACTTTGTCCATAACTGCTATGAACTATACCTTGAAACTGTAAGTAAACCTGTTATGCAAGACAAAAACACATCTCTGGGCCTCCCTGGTGGCACAAGGGGTTAAGTCTCAGCACTATGAAGCTATCCACAGCCACTGCAGCATGGGTTTGATACCCGACCAGGAAGGAAACCCTCATGGCGCAGCAGACCTCTCCTGTCTCACCCACTGCTCCCCTCAGCAGTGTATTTCAGTCAATCCGCCTGTTCTGTTCCCCACTCTGTCTCTGGTGAATCCTTTCACCCCTGCCCCACACCTCTGGCCTGTAACCCAGTTCTTGTATGCATAAATAAATCTTTAAAAAAAAAAAAAAGAAAACACAGTTCACATAACAAGCACTTACACAGTGCTTCCTAGGTGCCAGCCATGCACTGAGTATAACATCTTGCCAAAGTTCAATCCCCCACATGTGGACAGAATGACAGGTGAGAAATACCCCAATTTCTGCTCCTAACAACTTTACTCTTCTGTCTTTTGTGTTCATGGCTGCCTTTAATTCTCACACAACCAACACTTCATACAATAGAGAGATGAAGTGGGCAGCATTTTCATTTTTCCTAAACCAGGAAGCTTCTTTGGCTATTTGAGAGCATTTTATTTTTTAATTACAAGTCTTCTCCGTATGATTTTTTTTTTTTAAAGATTTACTTATTTATTTATTTATACAAGCACTGGGTACAGTCAGAAGCGTGGGCAGGTGAGAGAATTCACCAGAGCCAGAGCAGGGAGCAGAATAGGCAGAAGGATCAAAGTACACTGCTGAGGGGAGCAGCGGGCGGCAGGAGAGGTCTGCGCGCCATGTGGGACCCTCACCCAGCGGCTGGGTATCGAACCAGCACTGCAGAGGCTGCGGGCAGCTTCGCAGCCCAGCGCTCAACCGCTGCGCCACCAGGGGAGGCCCCTCAGTATGATTCTTTTTGAATTTGAACTAGTACCTTAAGACTCAGAGGGAAAAAATTTAGAAGGATTTTATGCCACAGTTAAAATGGTTTATTCACCTCGGGGGAGGGGTTAAGTCAAAGATTAAATAAATATACCACATGAGAAGAGAACACACATATTACTGGGGTCTTTTCCTAAAGATAATCACCCCCCCCAAAAAAAAAAACCACTCTTGAAGAAAACCAAGCAATAAGAACTTCAAAGAATCTTATCTTTACAATCTGTACAAATTTCTTCCTCTTGATGGAATGAGCCATAACCCACTGATTTCAAAAGGTCAAGGGCAGTAAACTACACAGATGTACGCAGCAGCAGGTTCAAATAACTGCCAATGTTAGGAAGTGCTTCCTGCATGCTAGGCCTGGTGGGGGCATGTAAATTGCATTAGCTCACGGAGCCTTCCCAACAATTCTGAGACAAGAATACTGTTTCGCAGTGACAGGAACTGAGAAGGCTACCCAGCAGCAGCTGGATTTAGACTAGGTCGTCATTTAAATGCAAGCCTGCATGCATGAGTGCCGAAAAAGAACTGTTGGTTTTCTACTGGCTTCTCCCCTAGTCTTTGTAGCTGCTGTATTTCCAGTTGTTCAACCCCAAATCCAAGAGGTCATCCTTCAATTCTCTTTCTTTCTCACTTCAATTCATTAGCAAGTGATTTCAGTGTCACCCTCAAAATAGAGCGAAAATCCATTTGCTTCTCTCCATCACCACCTGCCATCATGCACCCATGTGCTTACCTGCACTATCAGTGCCATCACCTAGAGCTATGCTCCACTCTCTTACTGCATTACCACCTGTCATCACCTTTTTCCTGGATTACTGCAAGTGTGTCCTGTGCTTTTGTCTCCCTTAATGAGAGATGATTTCCTGACCACTTTTTTTGGTGGGGGTGGGGGTGGGGGGAAGGTGCTTGAGGGAGCAGACAGAAGCAGATGACCTTTCTAGTTCTTTTTAGTTCTGTAGTGCTAAGGCCTTCCCTTTTTACAATAGCTATTTATAAAGCACCTACTGTGTGTAGCACTATCTTTTGTATCCTTAGAGGTAAGACTAACAAATGGCCTACATACAGGAGCTTCATACTGCACTTGACAAGAAAGCCAAGTATTGAAATAGAATAATGCATTGAGTGAGTGAAGAGTTAAATTCACAAAGTGAACAGACTTACTAAAGATTAATTTCATCTATTACTTTACTACTAATTATGGTCTATTTAAGCCTAGACCACTTTAGAAAGTACCTGTTATTTGGAGTTCCCCACAGGCTGAGAACACTTAGCTAAGATTTGAAAGATGTAAACAAGAGAGCAGGATGTGGCCATCTCCTGACAACCTATGTGAGCTGTTGAATACAGCATTTCTGAAGCCATCTTATTTCTTGGATTTTTGGTATGGAATCAGCACAGCCCCTTCTTCCCCTTAGGACATTCAAGGTGGGTTTCTGCCACTTGCTACCAAGAGTGCTGATTAATAGCCTCTTCCTCTCCTCTGCCATCCATTGCGTCTTTTTTTTTTTTTAAGATTTTTTTTTTTTACAGGGGTACAGGCCAGAGGTGGGGGGTGGGGGGTAAGAGAATTCACCAGAGACAGAACAGGGAGCAGAACAGGCAGACGGACCGAAGACACTGCTGAGGGGAACAGCGGACAAGACAGGAGAGGTCTGCGGCGCCATGTGGGTATCTCCTTGGCCTGCTGGGAATTGAAATAGCGCTGCAGATGCTGGGGCCCATCCCATACCTAAGGCCAGAAGATAGTGGCTGCAAAGAAGATGAAAAAGTCTCTGAGTCAATCAACTCTAGGCTCCAACTTGTTATGACAAGTGGAAAGTACGTGCTGGGGTGCAAGCAGACACTGAGAATGGCTAGGCAAGACAAAACTGGTCATCCTCACCAACAATTGCCCAGCCTTCAGGAAATCTGAAACAGAACACCACCCCATGTTGGCTAAAACTGGTGTGCACCACTGCAGGGGACCAACACTGACCTGGGCACAGTGTGTGGAAATGCTACAGGGTGTGCACTGATCCAGGTGATTCTGATATCATTAGAAGCATGCCAGAACAGACTGGTGAAAAGTAAATCATGCTAATTTTTTCTGTTAATAAAACTGGCCAGAGTTTATATAAAAAAAAAAAACTAGTTATTTGAAAAGTCATTATGTGGGTTAGTGGCAAAGCAGTTAATTGAGAGTTTGAATTCTGGTCTCTAAAATCAAACATGTAGGGCCTCCCCGGTGGCGCAGTGGGTTGAATACAGTGCTGTGGAGCTGTCAGCCTCTGCAGCATGGGTTCAATTCCCAGCCAGCCAGGGAGATTCCCACATGCATGGTAGACCTCTCCTGTCGCACCAGCTGCTCCCCTCAGCAGTGCTTTCGGTCTGTGTGCCTGTTCTGCTCCCCACCTGTCTCTTTGAATCCTCTCACCCTCCTGCACCTCTGGCCTGTACCCCAGCTATTGTAGAAATAAAAAATAAATCTTAAAAAAATTAAATTAAATCAAACAGGCATTGTTTCACTTTGAAAAAGTTAGAAAATGCCTAAGTCTCACGTATAAAATGGGGATAATATTGTGAGAATCCAATGGGATGCTATATTGGACCTCAATTAGTATCCTGTGAGGTGCACAGATCAAGTGCCTACAATAACCGGCAATGTAAGCTCTGGTGTGACTGCTAAAAATCACCACACTCCCTAATACCACTTTCTACAGATTATACACCACATGGAGACTATAACACTTACTTGCTTTTTTGTGAAATCCTTTATAGAACCATCTTTTACTCTGTTTCAAGGTGACATTATAGTCCATACAATGAATACTAGTTCATGAAATCAGAGGTCTATTGTGGTACATTCCAAGCTTCCCAATTAACACTCACCTCTAGTGAGAAATTAAATAATAAACAGATGGTCAAACAGTGAGTAATAAAATAGTACCTGAAAAAGTGTCATGTGGGTTTAAGAAAGAACTGCAACATTCATTGTTTTTCTAATCAGTAATCCATTAGAGAAACAATAAAAAGGTTTATTTTCACAAAGTGACATAAAAAAGGAGGCCTCCCCCCACCAATATCGGTATAAAATTAGTACCAAGATACCCTGTTTCAGGTTAGATTGTTCATTTTCACAATAAAACATCAAATACTGAAAATATGATGGACATGATTTTACTGATCACTTTTTACTTAAATGATCTCAAAAATCACTTCTGCAAAGTCAGAGGGTCACATCCACAATTACAATTCCGACAACAACAAAAAAAAAAATCAGCCAAACAAACAAAACTTGTTATTGTCTGATTCACCCAGATGATTCTAGCAAAAACAGGTGTACCTCAACAGGCTGGTTTTGCAAACTCGGTCTTTCTCTTTTGCTGGGTTAAATGAAAGTAAGGCTAAACATAAACCGGGTGTATTTAAAGTGTAAACATGAAATTTAAGTAAAAACATGAAACTTAAACACGAAATTTAAGTAAAAAACATGAAAAACTTGGGTCGCATTAAACCAACATATCCTAGTTTACTGGCCATTACCAGTACTGGCCATTGCCAGTGATTCGACTTCTGCAATAGCTGACAAAGAGGATAAAGTAATTCATACAGCAAATCCCATGCATCCTGGTCTTAACCAAAAAGTTCCCCAAGGACCGAGCAAGGGCCTAAAGGGAAACCCCACTCCCCAGCCCTGCCCCAGCCAAGAGAAATATCAGCGTATTGGGTTAAGACCTTGCTGGTGACTTGGGGACTCTTACAGCCATCCCCGGGCTGTGATCCCTCAGGCTGCAGAGCTGGCGCGCACCGCCAGGTGTTCCTGATGCCCGCGTGGGCAGCGCCCTCCAGGGGGCACGAGAAGCCACACCTGCCCTGGGGGTGGGTGGGGGCAGGGCGCGCTCGCCCACAGCTCCCAACAAGCTGCATCAGCACCGGTTTTAACTTCAAGCGTCTTAGGACCCCACGACGAAATAATTCGGATGTTGTTACACAAGCAGACCATGGAGCGACCGGAAGCCCGTGTGAGGTTCCCCTGTAACTGACAGACGCCGGCATTGATGGACGGACCTCCCAGCCCGCCCAACGTGGTTTGGAACAAACCGAAGTCTCAAGCCGACGCTAACCTCCCAAGAAACCCCGGCTGCAGGGAGAAAGGCTGCTCGCTAACTCGCGCCCCCGCGCAGGCCCGGCCTCCCCTGCGCTCAACAGGTTCCCCGCGCAACTTCCAGCACAGCCGACGGGAGGACCCGGCGGTTTCCGCCGCAAGCCGCCGGGAGCCGGGAGGGAGACCGGCCCGACCCGCGGCGAGCCCCGCAGTCCAGCCGATCACCTCGGGGTCCGCTCGGGCCCGCTGGGTCTAAGACGCCGAAAACTCGCCGCACATCCAGATCCGGACTCGGAAAGTCCCGCCGGGCAGCGCGCCTTCTCCGAGAGGGGGCTGGGGACCCCGGGGTCACTCACCCGCCGGTTCGCCACTGTCCACGGCCAGCTTGAGCAGCGACATCACCAGCAGTATCCCCAGGGCCACCATGGCCCAGGCAGTCCGAGCGCCGAGCCCCATTGTTCCGAGGCAGGACCAGGCGGCCGCGAGGGTTGCCCAGCGAGGCGGTGGCGCGGTCGAGAGCGGCCGGGCCGTGCACCGACGCCGGCTGCGCGCCCCTCCCGCTGCGCGCGCCTCTCCCCCCACCCCGCCCCCCAAATGACCAAATAGGGCGCGGGAACCCGAGCCTGCAGCGGACGTCGCCCGCCGAGCCGGGGCGGCGGGGCGGGGCTGGCGGGCTGGGCGAGGCGGCTCTTTCCCCGCCTCCTCCCCTGGAGCGCTCTGGAGAGCCCCTGAACGCTGGGGCGGTTTCCTTTCTTTTCCGAAGTGGCAGCTGGGCTCTGCTGGAGATGTGGGCGCACCGCAGCCTCTCCGGATGCCGAGCTCGCCGGACCGCCCTGGGTCGGCCTGGAAGTTACTTTGAAGAGCAGTTCTGGGTGGGGCTCGCGGGCTAGTGCAGCTCAGCCCGCCCGGGAGGTTGCGGGCCGGGGCAGGTGAACAGGGAGGGTCAGGAGAGGAGAGGATTCCCTAGGAGGGGGCCTGGGTCGTCTAAGGTTGCCTTTCGAGTGCCCCAGCCTTAGGGGGAAAGGGTGGGAAAGAGCCAGAAAAGCTCACTGCTTGCTTTCACACGTAAAATATCCATGATCTGTGTTCCAAATTGCAATGCCTCCTCCTTCACGGGATCCCTGCATCTCTGCTTAGAGATACCTTCCGCGGGAGAGAGATGCGTGGGGTGGGCGCGTGGGGGACCGGGAGAATGGGCGCGCGGGTATAGCGGCCCAGGCCCCGGTGCACAAGTCTAACCTAACTGCTTCTGTCCTTGGTATCTGCTGTCCCGGTACGGATGAAAAGAACCTGTTTTGAATAGTTAAGTCCCCCACTTTTTGTATCTTTTATATAATTCTTACATCATTTGTCTTTTTTTGCACAATGTATGCGTTTTCATTTTGGTTATATTCCCCGTACAATTGCACCCCCTTATTTTGACCCTAATCCTTCCTCTCTTCCTCCCCCCACCCCCGCAACCTCCACCCCCCCCCCGTTTGTCTCTGGTTTATAGTTGCTTGTTCATTTTGATTTTTTCTTTATTACACTTAGTCTTTTTCCTGGTCCCTTATTTAAGCCTTTGGAGGCCATTCTACTCCTGGGTCTTAACTGGCAGTGCTTTGAAAGCCTGAGTTTTGTTTCCACTGAACACCCAAGTGACCTGCAGCAATGCAGGAAAACTAGATGGAGTCCTGGAATGGGTGGGAAATTCTCAGCTGAGATGGAAAGCTACTGAGCACCTAAAATCACAGTGGTTCCTCCATTGCAACAGCTCTCAATATGGCAAACCTTTGGCATCTGACCGAGATTTCATGACAAAAAGGCCACAACACCTCAGCTATACTCTCTGAAATATGTTATGAGAGATGGTACTTTCTGACCTCAGGCAAGTCTGTCATGACCCACCATGTCCTGAATTTGCAGACTTACATGTGCTGATTCAACTAAACCTGACATCCACCACGGGCAAAAAGCAAACACTGCACATTTTTAAAGTTTTAGTTACTGCATTTAATTGGGAAACCTGGCTTAGGAATAATTGTTCTGCTGACTGTCTACCCCACTGTCCTAGCATTTCGCCTGCGAAGCTCCACCTGTCTTTATGACTTTGGTTCTGCTGCCTCTGGACAAGATGCTTTCTGGTTCCTGGCATTGTTCTCTTTCTGAAATGCCCTCCTTCTTTCTCTCCCCCATCCATAACGCTTCCTTTCAAACTGAATGTGCTCCACCCAGGAATCTGGTATAGAATAAGAAATGAAACCAGAGGGCAAGCAGGGCAAGACATCTAGCTGACCATGTCCCCCGGGCTGCAGGAGACGGAGATTGTTCCACCATGGGTGTGTGTGGTGTGAGTGGATCCTTGTAGTAGCTTTACTTTGATAGAAACAGCACACAACTATGAATTCTTCCTGTTTTCTTCCGTGTTATGAGAGGGAAAATGGGCGAGACATTATATCTCAAGCCTCTTCAAGGCTTGAGATTCTGGTGGAGGATGCAGTCTTAGCTCTGCCCCATCACCACACTAACATGTTACTCTGAAAAGTGGCATGAAAGGTCAAAAGAATAGCACAGAAGGCCTCAGTAGCCTAGCCCTCCCCTGTCCTCCAGCCTCCTGCCTGGAGCCTTCTCCTAGCCTTCCCGTGACGCAAGCCCACCAGGGCATCCATATCCCTGTGTCTTTGCTCAAGATGCTTTCTGACCTCCCACAGGGCCATTTTCACTCACCTCTCAAGACTCCCTTCGTAGCTCAACCTTCCTCAACCATCGGGGCAGATTTTATTCTAATCCTGCTGCTTGTCCAGTGAATTCTTCCTTAGTCAGATTCTACGAAACTGCAAACTTTAAACTGCGAACTTTAAACAAAACAACTTGAAATGAAAGCAGATCTTCAAATAACATTGTTTTGGATTTTTTCTCATCAACCTTAGCAGGATGGCAAGAACCTGCTGGCTCAGCTCAGCTTCTCCACACCTCTATTCTCCCAATAATTTTTCACACAACAGCCCATGTAATTCTTCTAAAATGCGGCCATTTCCCTGCCATCTTCAAAGTTCAAAATTTTGATGGCAAGCCCTACATGACATGATTCTTCATTGCTTTTCCAACCTCATTTCCCCCTTTCTCCCCCTTCATTTACCCACTCAGCGAACTGCCATATGAGTTCCCATCCCAGTGCCTTCATGCTTGCTGGGTCTTCACATCATGTAGGCGTCTACTCATCTTCTCAGAAGAACCTTTCTAGCATATTATTTGTCTTTGTAGCTTCTACTTCTGTCCCTTATTTTGTTCACTTAAATGTTTATTGTTTGTCTTTCCTACAAGGATATAAGTTCCACAAAAACAAAAGTCCACATCTAAGAGCCTATTTCTGGGCTAGCTCCTATCACAATGCCATGGTGCTTGTCATTTTTATGAATGCCCGTCACCTTTTCAATCGCTTTCTTATTTTAGAAGTCAAACTGTTAGCCTCCTTTCAAATTTTATGCTTCCCTTACAACTGGACTCAAGAATGTAACCCAGCTTCTACCAATAAGGATCATCTGTATGAAACTGAAACTCAGATGAGGGCAGCCAGAGGAAGCAGGCTTTGTATGGAGCATCCAGTTTTGCTGGAAGAGCAGTGTAGGTGGCTGATTTGTTGGCAGCACTAGCAGCAACAGCAGTTTCTCGGTGGTTGTGAGAAGTGGCATGATGGGGAACAGCACCTGAGACAGCTACTTTGTTGGGCTTGGCCTCCAGTGGTTTTGCGCTTTATCCTGGAGGCTGAGCCTCAGTCATGGCTCTCTGCACTTTTCAACAGTTCTAAGAGCCACCACATATCTTCAATATTCTCCCTTTCTGCCACATCTGCGAGTCTTTTCTTTCTCACAACTAAGGATCCCGACTTTACATCACTGATGTGTCTTCTTTCCCTAGTAGGCTACAATCTCCATTAGATTATTTACCAGCTGCCCACTGAGTGCTTACCGGGTGATGGAGAATGTCCTCACAGAGCTGCTGGTCTAGTGGCAAGACATACGTAGTCGGTTACAGTGGAGTGTGATAGAAGCACACAGGAGCCAGGTCTGTGTCTTCCTCTGTGCACCTGAGGATCTAACATATTTCCCAGCATAGAGAGAGCATATCCTGTAAATTTGATGGGGAGATTAACAGAGCAGCAAAACGCGGCACTCTCAATGTTTGAGAAGAGTTTCATTCATCCCATATTTCTCATCTGTGTCTTTGACTTAGGGTCACCTAAAGATGGACCAGATGGTGGGACCATCATTTCATTTGTTCAGCCAGTCACATGACATGTACCAGGTACTTAGGTGTTTGGCAATAGTAGTGAATAACACAGGCCTGCCTGTTGCAAAAAAATGACAGACATGTAGTAAATGAAATTAAAAATCAGTTGTTTTTTTTTTAATGCCCTCCTGCAACTAGTCTGGATGCCAGGGGCCAAGAGGTGTGGGCATGGGGCACACAAGCCTATGACTGTGGACACCTGGGCCCAGGGAGAAAAGCAGGCACGTGTACAAGTGCGGACACCTCTGCTGAGAAGCTGGGGATAAAAGGGCGACGTCACTCTGGGATGAGATGAACAGGACATGACACAAGACTGAGAGGGAGAATGCCAGAGAGTGAGGCCAGAGAAAGAACGCAAAGATTTGTGGGGGGCTTGGAGGCTCGGTTACCTGCCTGCCTCCCAGCCCCTGCCCGGCCCATGCCTGCCTCCTTGCATGCCAGCCTCCCTGCCTGGTGTGCCTGTGTACCTGCTTCCTTGAGAGAGCAATGAAGGCCTGTAAAATCTACTGAGGGCTCCAGGACTCTCCTTTCTGTCTGTCTGAATCGACAGCGAAGTTACCTGCCTGGGGATGGTTGCACTACAGACCCCACTGAGTGGTCTAAAAGTGAGCGGATTCTGGATAGAAATGGCAGAAGCTACTTCTTTTATTTTTCCTGACATAATGTTAACATTCATTTAGTACGTTAGATTACACAATCTTATTTGCTAACAATTGCAATGCCATTTCCATTCCTTACTTGCAGAAACACTACAGTAAATTGATTTACTTGAGGTTACATAGCACACTGGTAGTAGATACACCTAGCCTGGGTTGTTTGTTATCCAGATTCAAACTTTTTTTTTTTTTAAAGATTTATTTATACAAGAACTGGGATACAGGCCAGATGCGGGGGAAGGTGAGAGGATTCACCAGAGACAGAGCAGGGAACAGAACAGGCAGACTGACTGAAATACACTGCTGAGGGGAGCAGCAGGAGAGACAGGAGAGGTTTGCTGAGCCACAGGGGATTCTCCCTGGCCGTCCGGGGTCGAAACTGTACTGCAGAGCTGCGGACAGCTTCACAGTGCCGCACTCAACTGCCTGCGCCACCAAGGAAGCCCCAAATTCAAACTTCTTATGCCACTGATGACCTAATAACAGTAGAAAAATGTACTTAGCACCTATCTGGTACTAGACACAATGTTAAGCATGCTGGATGCATAATCCAGTTTTCAAACTGTAGTGGCAGGAAGGGCACAGGGCAGGATCTCTGTGATCGGAGCA